GAAGAGTTCAAATGTGTCTTCAGGGGTGAATGAGTTAACTAGCTTAATACTGATGATTGACTAACCAGTAAAAGTATATTTTTGTTGAAACTCTTGAATAAATATTGCTATATCTGAATGATAAAGAAATATTAGAAAACAATTTGTTTTTATTGTAGAACAGTTGTCTTCAGAATTGAATTTCAATGCTTTTTTGAAGCTAACATAGCATTTAAGATAGGGACCTGTTTACTTAGTGGTGCGGTGCATAAGTGCAGTACCACAGGGAATAATATTGCTGTCTGTTTTCTCCTTACAGTGTCAGCCGCCGTTCAGTTGCAGCAGCCTTACACAATAAGTAAGTATAGGCTAGATGGCTGAGGTCGAACAGAAAATGATCTATCTGCCAACTCAACCAACATACAGACTCTGTTTTTATGGGAAGATGTCTTATTACTAAAGAAAATAGTTACTTTATGATGGTCATTACTCATATAGTATAATCAGTCTCTTAATTTCCCATGTATGTTTTTGGGGTAGAAGTTGTTCTTTTCAATGACAATCTAAAATTAATCAAATTTGTCTAATTTCTTGTTAATTATTTTGTACTTTAGTAACCACTTTCCACCCAAAAGTCGAAGCCCTGCACCGGACGACGAAGTGCTTGCCGATATTGACGGCAGTTTTAACCATCTTAACGATAAAGTAAGTCATTTATGTTTTTGAAGTAGGTAAGAAATATTGTATATTGCACAATGTTGACAGAGTTGTCTTCCTTGTCACAAACCAAAAAATTCCTTTCATTGTACAGAGACATTGAAGTTGGTATATAGAGGTCTACTCTAATTCTGACGTTGTTTTATTTCAACAGGTACAATCCCTGGAGAATCAGATTTTACAGTTAAACGAAGAGAAAAAGAACTCCTTTTCATTACAGACTAAGTTTAAAGACGACAACAGCATCCTCATCGAAAGGTAAGCACCTGTAGTATTTGTGTCACCTGAATTCAATGTTTTATTATTTGTAGGACCTGTTTAGTAAGGACGTATAACTAGGAGCTATATGTGGCCCTCAAATATAGCTTGTATAACAAGTTTGTAACAAGTTTGTACATATATACCATGATAAAATATTTCGTTTTTTTTGTCAAAACTTTATGGTAATTATGTAATTAAGACTATGGAGAAACACTTATCATAAATGTGTGCTTTAAACTGCTTTGATATTTTAGAATCTGTTAATTTTGTAGGCAGTGCCATCAAAGTTCTATTATCATGTCAAACTTTCCCTGAAAAATGTACACAGATTCTTGTTATCAAGAGATTAAGCCATTGGCAACACCCATAGACAATTACGGGAAAAAAACATCCCATAGAAGTAAATGATTAACAGACAATGGCAGTATAACACATCTGTGTTTTTGTTTTCTTTAGTATTGTGGACAGGTAAGACTTATGTAGAAAGCACCTGTTGATTATGTACTGTGTAGCGGGTTCTTGTAGTGCTGTGTTGATATTGTGTTTAGCGGTGTTTGGGTTGGATGGTAAATATTTTGTCATGTTCATTAATTTCTCGGAAGTTATTAGAGTGTGTAGACCTAGATTTGATTTTTAAAGATAAATTATTAAAAGAATTTTATTTTCAGTATATTTATTTACCTCATAAATGAGTTTGAAAATATTATGGTGAAATAATATGGTGAAATAATTAAAAAAAAAATCTATGATAAAACATGTTGAATAACAATTTTGTTTTTATATTCAACTTACCCTCTGTATTTTATTAAAGCTAACATGGGTTGATAATGACAAAATACATGCCATGTTCTCAGTGTTAATGCTGTGTAAATAATGCTTTGTAATGTTATAATGATGCTGTAGAATAGATTGTTTTCATTTACTACTTAATATCTTTTTCTTCATTTACTAATTAATATCTTTTTCTATTGCTTGTATGTATAATTAAAGCAGATTTCCTATAAATATCTTAATATCTAATTATGTGCATTTTTCTATGGGTACATGTTGGCTTTGCATCAATATATCATAAGACAACACAATCAGGACATCATAGGAATATATTATCATTTTTAATAACCGAACTGGGGAAAGTTACTTGGCACTTTATATGTAAATATCTCATTGGTTATGTCAGCCAACGCTACTTAATATCCTACTCAATTCACTTTTGTATAAAATAATATTCTTCTCATTTGGTAAAAAATGTAACAACTAAAACACATTATATGTGTTGAAATGGTAATTAGATATGGGAGAGGGTAAGATTAGCAGAGTTGTTTCCCTTTGTACAGTATATACATGTTTAAGCTGGATACATGAAATGACACTTCAAGTTAATCTATTGGTTTTAACAGTACACTATTTATAGTGTATACATACAGTTAATACAGTAATATAATCACATACATTGTATTCATCTAAGCTTATTTTATAGAGAAAATTATGTAGAAAATAATTCTTCTATTTCAATTTTTACTGCATCATGTTAAAAATTTCTTGATGTGAAAGACATAATTAAATCTAAATTTCATATTTATACATGACCAATGGCACACAGAGTGGGTTACACATGTACATAAATACTGTAGCACTGATGGCATTATATATTTACATACGTATACAATATATATTATGCATTGCAAGCCTTTCGGCATTATGTGTTTTCTGAAGTAAACACTGTGCATGTTAATAAGCTTTGTATAGATGTTAAATAGGTGGTATAGCGTATACACAGGTCTACACACAGGTGACTGCATACACATATATGTTAAAGCAGGAAAAATAAATAAAATAACAATGAATATATCTAGAATATATTAAATGTACATTGTGCATATTTCAATTTATATTCATATCATATGTACAATAGATTTATTGTAAATTCAAACATCATGGAAAAGTAGTTCTTACTCTTTTAAACAAATATTATACCTTACTGGGCATTTCAAAAAGCAATCTTTGTGAATGTGGTGTTTGAGTCCCAGCTACAAAAAGAAAAGTTTGTGAAAATGAGATAAATTTAGTCATAAATAAGGACAGTGTTCAAGGGTGATAATCAAAGAGCTTCTTAAAGTGTTAAGGGTTACATTATAGTGCTTAAAAACTGGCAAAAATTCTAATAACTTCTAACATTACATCAAGTATAACTGTCAAAGTAAAAACTAGAAAACTATGAAATAGCACTACCGAGACAGTGCCTGTCAATAGGACAGGCCATTGGAATGTTTGTTGCTTGCTGAGCAATCGGTACCTGTGATGTATTTTGGTGACATCACTTAATGCTTTGTATCGTGTTTGGCTGAGTTGTGGTGCATGATCTCTGTACTCTGAGTCTTACTAATAAAAAAAAACAAGAAATCAAAGATTAACTACATCTGTATATTAAATATGACAGGTTGTCAGAATACTCAGGGGTCAAATTAGAAGGCTTTCAATGTACAATTGATTAAAGGTCGAGGTCGTTTGTAAAAAGACCAAATGAGAAATTTCAAAGATGAACGACAACTGTATGTCAATCATTACAGGTTGTCAGAATAGTCAGGGGTCAGATTAGATGGGTTTCAATGTACAACATA